AAATCAAAACAAAACAAAACCCCAGAGAACCAAATTCACTGGGAAAGGTGGCATGCCTGTGGCCCTAGGTACTCGGGAGGCTGAGGCGAGAGGATCACTTCAGCCCAAGAGTTTGAGGCCGCAGTGAGCTATGATTGCACCACTGCCCTTCAACCTGGGTGACAGAGTGAGACTCTGTCAAATAAATAAATAGATAAGTAAGTAAGTAAATCAACCTCCAGATTACTAATTCCTTGACGTTCTCTTTAGATGTCAGGATTTTTACCCATATACTCTTTCATACAAATGTTTTTATATTCATAAATGTAAATAAAGAATTCAAGAGGACTTAGATATTGAAAAGTAGTAAAAATAACTTAGATAAGGACTTGAAAGGGCATTTATACTTTGGCCAAATATATAAAACTAAAATGTCTTATGTTGGAGATGTAAAATTAAAAACAGTTCTGGTTGGGTGTGGTGACTTAACGCCTGTAATCCCAGCACTTTGGGAGGCCAAGGTGGGAGGAAAGCTTGAGGCCAGGAGTTTAAGATCAGCCTGGGCAACACAGTGAGACTCTGTCTCTACAAAAAATTAAAAAATTAGCTGGGCATGGTGGTGCACGCTTGTCCCAGCTACTTGGGAGGCTGAAGTGAGAGAATTTCTTGAGCTTGAGAGGTAGAGGCTGCAGTGAGCCATAATCTGACACTGCCCGCCTGCCAGGGTAACACAGCAACTCCCCGTCTCAAAAGGCGAAAATAAGAAAACCCTAATTCTTTGACACAAGTAAGTTTGCTATTGTTAGCATTGTGTAAGATTTAGATTTAGACATAAATAACAAATAATTTTAATAGATTTAACATAGCTATCCTTATGGAAAAGGTATAACTATGATTTTGTCCATGCAAAAATATGTGTAATTTTTTTTTAAGTTATTCTATTCTCTTGCTTGGTTCAGTGAGTAGCAAAAGTAAAAGCAGGATATTTTACTGGCATTAAAGCGTTTCAGGTTTTTAGTGCTTGAGTTTCTTTTAGATACCTGTCTGAACATCTTGGTGATTGGGTGCTATCCTACCACCTTTATTAGTTTTGACTGAGACAAAGTTTTTCTTCATATTGTGTCTTTATCACAATTTGCTCCTGGTTTGACCCTTTATACTCTATAAAACAAGTCTTTTTTTTTTTCCTGCATAGCTGTTTGTTAAATAAAAATGGAAATGGTATTCTAGTGGAGGTTTTCATTTCTTGACTAAATATTCTCAGAGACTTTAACCATTCCTCACATAGCAGCTCCACCATAAATAGCTGGTATGATCTTGGGGAGTTATTTAATCTGTGCTTGGTTTCCTTGTGTTTAAAATTAAGAATGTTGGTACCAGGGTCATAAAGTTACTGTGAGGATTGAGTTATTACGTTTAAAATACAACATTTGGCATGTAGTACACATTCAGTAAATGTCAGACACCACAGTTGACTCTTCAGCAACACAGGGATTGGGCATAGACCTCCTGCGTAGTTGAAAATCCACATATAACTTTTGACTCCCCTAAAACTTAACTACTAATAGCCTACTGTTGACCCAGAAGCTTTACTATATAACATGAACATTTGATTAACACAGATGTTATCTGTTACATGTATTTTATACTGTATTCTTGCAACAAAGTAAGCTAGAAACAGAAAATGTTATCAAGACAATCATAATAAAGAGAAAATGTATTTACTATTCATTAAGTGAAAGTGGGCCAGCCTAAAAGTCTTCACCCTCATTGTCCTCACATGGAGTAGGCTGAGGTAGAGGAGGAAGAGGAGTGGTTGGTCTTGCTGTCTCAGGGATGTCAGAGGTAGAAGAAAATTTGCATGTAAGTGGATCCATGGAGTTCAAACTGTGTTGTGTTGTTCAAGGGCCAACTGTATTGTTATTTCATCTTACATTGTTTCTCATCCATCTTGTCTATTCATGAACCTGTTTGTCTTTCTCAAAGCATAGCTGAATGCAGTGGCAACTGTGAGCTGATCAGCCCAGAAGGAGTAGTACAGTCCTCACCTCCCCCATTAATATGGGTCAAAGAGCCGGGGATGGTGGCTCAGGCCTCTAATCCCAGCACTTTGGGAGGCCAGTACTTTGGCAGGCCAAGGCGGGCGGATCACGAGGCCAGGAGATTGAGGCTGTCCTGGCTAACACGGTGAAACTCCGTCTCTACTAAAAATACAAAAAATTAGCCGGGCGAGGTGGCGAGCGCCTGTAGTCCCAGCTACTAAGGAGGCTGAGGCAGGAGAATGGCGTGAACCCGGGAGGCAGAGTTTGCAGTGAGCTGAGATCCGGCCACTGCACTCCAGCCTGGGCGACAGAACGAGACTCCGTCTCAAAAAAAAAAAAAAAAAGGGGGGGGTCAAAATTGGAATTGATTTTTAAACATTCGTTGTGGGGAATTTAAAACATTAAAAAAAAGTAGACAGACTAGTATGATGGACCCTCATATACCCATCCTCCATCCCCAGCAGCACAACCAATGCAGCCCTATTTGTACTTCATCCAGTTCCTCCGTGGTATAATTGTAACTCGTCTGTTATACTTAGACTGCATGCCTGGTTTATCTTGATAATTACTAAAGCTTTTAGGATAATGCCTTGTTTTCTTAGTAAATAATTGTTGAATTAATGAAAAATGAATCTTGCCTTTGGATTCATGCCTGGATCAGCTTCTGTAGTTTGCTTGTGTAGGTGGGTGAGTGGGATTGAAAACAGATTTGTCTATATTTACTGTTTTTTAGATGTCACTTCGGTTTTGTTTAAATAATTTCTTCCATATCTGCTCATGGATATATATATATGTATGTGTGTATATATATATATATATATGGTAATCTTACTGGTGCAGTGTCTGAGTACGCTGAGAAATCCAATTATCTGGGATTGAAGACTTCAATTTACTATTTTCTTAGAGTCTTCATTATTTTGAGCTTGAAGACTTTACCCATGTTTATCATAGGCCGTCCAATCTGATAATCATGTTGTCTTAGCTAAATGGAAGCAGAATTGAAGAACTGTACCTTATTTGCCATCTTTATTGGAATTATTTTTTAAGTCAGATTTATTATGGAATAATTTACATATTGTAAAATTGTGGTAATTTATTGGCTTCAAATTAGAGGTCCTTCTTCCCAGTGTCCGTTTGCTCCAAACCTAACAAAAAGACAGCTGCCATTGTAATTGACTGTAGTACCTTTTTCAAACTTGTTTTTTCATAACCCTATTTTTACTTGTGCCTTATTGTTACTCTGCCTACACCTTTTACTGAAGTTTTAATATATTCACAGTTGTTTTTAAAGTGGTACTGAAGTGTGTAACTCCTGCTTAAAACAGGGATAGAGGCAATGTAAGTCTGGTTGTATTCATCTAGTGGGATAGGAATTCTGAAGGTGCAGTATGACAATTAAGAGTATTGCCTAGAGAGGTTAGCTTCTAGCACTCAGATCACTACCATCACCCTAAGATTGAGCCTATGTGAGCCTGCTTAGTAGAAACAGCCAGCTGAGACAGGATTTGTACACTGCATACACCTCAAAGCAAAAGAAGGCTTAGTGAAAGTGAGTTTAGATTTACCCTCTGTAATTTATCCTGTAGTGACTTAGTATAGCTCTGCCTTTCCCGCTCCTAGCTCTAGTTTTAAATGAAATATCTCTAGCTGGAGAGGAATCTTACCCTTCAGCGTTAGCAGTTTTACCTTAATTATTAAAAATTTCATCAAAGATTAGTTAACAAGGTCTTGAAAACAAGAATAAGATTTGTTTTAGACAGCAGGCTGAGAAAAGTATTCTGATAGAGAACATCATATTGCCATGACACCATGGCCTGTGAACCTCAAAACTGCAGTATTTCACCTTTGATACTTCTGCTAGTTTGCTTACTTCTGAACTTAAAAGATTCAGAAAATGTATTCATTTAGAAAATATCTATTGAGCATCTACGTGCTGGGAAGTATGTTGCATACTAGCTAAACAAAACAATGAACAAAACAGATGAACTTGCCATATGGAGTTTATAGTCTAGTAGGAAACAAAATGAAAGTTACTTGAAGCCATATAGAAAAATTGTGCTTTGCTTATACTTTAAGGATTTAACCAATTATTTTAAAGTGAACTTGGAGTGACTTTTCCTTGAGTTGTTTTGCAAAATGTATTTGCGCATTCAGAGCTTTGGGTTTAACATGTTTCTCTATGTGTGCTGGTAATGTGAAATTAAATATTAGAGAGGCAAAACAATTTAAACAGAGGGAGAATATTAGAATACATGTATTATAGTGAGATTTCAGGATAATGACTTGTAATACATTTGTGTGGATAAAACTGTATGTTTGTTTTGCCAAATGGACCTTTGCAAGCAGAAAAGAATAAATATCTTTATGGCCTTTCTTCTCTTCAAATGATTAATACTTAAGAATTGAACATTTGTATTTATCTTTCATGTGGAGGAAAAAAATGACAGATTTGTTGATGGAAAAGTAAATCTTTCAAATAGGAGGGAGGGTATAATAGAGCAAATGGAAACCGTGAGACTAAGATCACGTTGGAATTATGTGACAATGTCACGTGTCTCTTGGTGAGAAAACATGCCTCAGATTCCTTATTTCAACAGAGTACAACAAAGTGCCTGAATTGAGTGATCCCTCCTAGTGTTAAGATTTTATCATTTTAATTTTTTTTTTAATCTAGCAGTTTCTTAACGACTTGGATTGTTGGAAAGTCAAAATGCTCTTTTATTTTGGTACTTGTTCAGGTTCAAGAATTAAAAACTTAAGATGGGGGAAGAAGGCTTTGCTTTCTCTAACTCTTATTTTCTGTAGGTACTTCGTAACTCAGGAAGACCTCATTTATTCCCAGTAATATGTTTTACTAAACTCTTTCAGGTAACTCTTAAAAGACTGTGTGACTTAATAGTAGATCATGGCTTGAACTCAGTTTTTATTTATTGTTGTTACTAGAAAATTTTTGTGAAATATTTTTCTTTGTCTCTGTAGTTATCAGAGACTACTGCAGACGATTGCTGTACTCGAGGCTCAGCGTTCTCAAGCAGTCCAAGACCTTGAAAGTTTAGGCAGACACCAGAGAGAAGCACTAAAAAATCCCATTGGATTTGTGGAAAAACTCCAGAAGAAGGTATACATTGAACCCTTTTTAAGATTTACTAAGATCTGTTTGGGAATAGCTTAAGAGAATTTGGCTAATTCTTTTTTATGGGTATATACTTTCTAAAATGTTTAGTTTTTTTTGGTCTATAATTAGCCGTACTACTTAAGGCAAGATACCAACTTCTTCCACCTCCACCAGGCAGACAATAAAATATATCCAAATGAAAATAGCTAGAAGCTTTTATTGGATATTTGTATGGGAACTTGTCCTATTCCTTAGCCATTTTTTTTCCTAGCTTTTCCTGTTATCTTCCCCTTCTTTGAGTATTTTTCCTCCTCTGTATCAGGACTTAGGGATTAGTAAAGCTAAAAGAAAAAAATACTTCAGAATTGATTAACTACATTTGTTTCTGGGTTACTTTTGCACACTAGTACCTTTGTGCATATTGAGAGAGAAAACAATGGTGATCAAAACAAAATCTATTTTTAAATATCTTTAGAGTTACGATAGCCAAGTCCATGAGGAAGAAGTATAAATTTTACTTAATTCTGAAATGCCTTTTTTAAATGTGAAAATTCTACATAATTTTGTTTTCCTTACAACAGAACTTTCATGCTTAACACTTAACCACTTAAAAGCGATACAGGTTTTTATAATGAATTTCTTGGTGTGTAAATATGGAGATGATCTTGATGTGCATTTGTGCTGTAATAGGGACCCACTAATTGTTCACTAAATTTCAGAGGTATAATATTAATCAGCATTGTATGAAAAGATTAGAACTGAAAAACGATGAAAAAGAATCCTCTTCTTAAAAAAGAAATGAAATCTTATCTTGTGTGACAACTTTAGTATCTTTATGAGTTACCTGTTTTGAATTAGTTACAAAAGTGGTCTACCAGGTATTAGGAGAGCAGCTCTGGGGACCTTATTTCACTAGATGTGTTAATTTATTATTTGAATGTTTCTAGGTATATTATTTAGTTGGTAAACATTTCTTTCTCTTCATACTTTTAGAAAACATTGAATATCATAATAGATGTAGAGTCTATATGTTGATTTGTTAAAACTCTAAGGTTTTTAGAATTTTGGTGTATCTTCTGTGTTAAAGTGAGGCCCCTTTAAGTGTTTATTGATTCTGCATTGCTGTTATTAAATAATTTGCTGGTACAAAAAGATATAAGACTTATAATGGTTATTTACAGTGAATTCAACTAAAACAGATGGTGTTAGTAAAGTAAATACTAATGAAAAATTCATTAACTTTAATTTCATTTCATTTACTTTCCCGGGTAGGCAAAAAGATGTAATTAGGCATATTTACTAGATTTGTATGCTGTTGATTATTTCCTGTTTCTTCACTTTCAGGTTTAGTTTGAACAGACTTTCATTTCTTTTTTTTTTTTTTTTTTTGAGTTGAAGTCTCACTAGGTCACCCAGGCTGTAGTGCAGTGGGGCCTGATCTCGGTTCACTGCAACCTCTGCCTCCTGGGTTCAAGTGATTCTCCTGCCTCAGCCTCCTGAGTATCTGGGACTGCAAGTGCACTGCACCACGCCTGGCTAGTTTTTTTATTTTTAGTAGAGACTGGGTTTCACCATGTTGGCCAGATTGGTCTGAAACTCCTGACCTGAAGTGTTCCACCAGCCTCGGCCTCCCAAAGTGCTGAGATTATAGGCTTGAGTCACTGTGCTCAGCCTGGAATGGAATTTCTTTTCACTTTATTTCAGAAATAAAGATGTGATGTTGACCATCTTAATAATTTTTTATAAAAAGACACAGAAATATATTAAATTAAGATACTTTAATAACCATGAAGTTATTAGTGTCTGAGAATTTTTTTTTTTTAATTAAAAAAGTCATGTTCTTTGGAAAAAAATTTTCCTACTAGGTTTAATTTAAAAGGTTGATTCTTCTATTTTTCTGGGTTTGTTCATACAAACTCAATTTGCCTATTTTATTTAGGTTTATCATATTAGTTATGTTGTTGACTTGTAAAATGTTTGTTTTAGTGGACATATAAAAAATTCCTCTTAGTTCATATTAATGAAACTGGTGATATATATTGGTATATGGAATGCAGAGAACATTTATGGGTTGTTAGTTTTATTTAATATTACTATCATTATTTTAAAAGACACTGCCCTCCATCTAGAAGTAGTACTTAGGTTTTGCTAAATTCATTTATTCACTTATCATCTTTAGCATTTAATATTTAGACTATATTAATTAACTTTATTGTCATTTGGATTTAAACATGAATAGAAATGCCCCGTTGATTATTTGGATTTGGAGTCATCTGAAAATTTGACTGTGGTTGATTATTTCTTTAATTACATTTAGACTTTTACTTTATCTTGTTTTTTCTCCCCTGCCCCCAGGCTGATATAGGGCTTCCGTATCCACAGAGAGTTGTTCAGTTGCCTGAGATCGTATGGGACCAATATACCCATAGCCTTGGGAACTTTGAAAGAGAATTTAAAAATCGTAAAAGACATACTAGAAGAGTTAAGCTAGTTTTTGATAAAGGTAAGAAATCATATGATAAGAATGTAAGTAGAAAAATATCTGGCAATGTTTTGCTTTAATGGTTCTGTATGTGGTCTTATTTTTCAGTAGGTTTACCTGCTAGACCAAAAAGTCCTTTAGATCCTAAGAAGGATGGAGAGTCCCTTTCATATTCTATGTTGCCTTTGAGTGATGGTCCAGAAGGCTCAAGCAGTCGTCCTCAGGTAAGCAGTGTGAAATATTGGAGTAGGAAAATTTGAATTTTAGACAAAACATTTTAACATTTTGTGGTTTGTGTTTTTAAAATTAAAGCGTCTTTCACTGGAAGGTAAAGGAGATAGGAACTTTGAAATTAAGAGAAACTTAGGTTGGAGTCCTAACTTACGAGCCGTGAACCTTCAGACATCATTTATGTTGAAGTCTCTAAGCTGCGGTTTCCTTTTGTATAAAATGTAGTTAATATTACCTATGTTGTAGGGTTGTTGCTGAGGATTAAATAGGTAGTGTATGCAATGTGCCTAGTACAGTATCCGACACATAGTATTTAGTCTAAAAATAGTAGCTCCTTTGTGTGTAGTGAAATGTGACCAGGATTTGAGTCCTGGCCTTGCCACTCTTAGTAGATGACCCTCAGTGGACATGTTACTTTTCAATTCTGAGCCCACATTTCCTTTTCCTTTTTTAAAGCGTGAAGTTACAGTACTATTTTGTATTTCACAGGATTGCTGGGAGTATAAAACCAAACGAAATAAAATAATGTGAAGGCATTTTGTAAACAGTAAAAACAAAAAGCATATACATTAAAAAAAATTTACTCAAATATTTCGAAATTAATTTAAAAATTCCACAATTTGTGTGTTATTTGGCTATATCACAGGTTAGATGTTGTTATTTTCTCTCTGACAAAAGCCTTGTCTTACGTGCAGATGATAAGAGGACGCCTGTGTGATGATACCAAACCTGAAACATTTAACCAATTGTGGACTGTTGAAGAACAGGTAATAGATATTTCAAAATTGTGTAGGCTTAAAAAATAAAAGTAAACAGTTAACATTACAGTCAATATTATGAGGCTTACGCCTGTAATCCCAGCACTTTGGGAGGCTGATGTGGGTGGATCACTTGAAGTCAGGAGTTCAAGACCAACCTGGCCAACATGGTGAAACCCTGTCTCTACTAAAAATACAAAAATTAGTTGGGCGTGATGGTGTGTGCATATATAATCCCAGCTACTCGGGAGGCTGAGGCAGGAGAATTGCTTGAACACAGGAGGCAGAGGTTGCGTTGAGCCAGGATCGTGCCACTGCACTCCAGGCTGGGCAACAGAGTGAGACTCCATCTCAAAAAGAAAAGAGTCCATATTTTGAGTCAAGTATATATTGTTGTTTGTGATACCTGTTAACCATGAGTTTTAAATATTTAGACTTATTTTTGTATACTTTTTTGCATACTTCAAGAATTTTGGATTTTGAGAATGTGTAAACTCTTGTTTGGGGATAATTTTAAAAGAAGGAACCTGGGTTTTGAGATGGCAGTAGAAGTGGATGGAATAAAATAGATGTTTTTGTAATATAGCTTTGGGAGAGAGAAAAACCTGAGGCCAGTAAAACTGAGCTTCAAAGTGCATTCTTATTTTTGTTGTCAAAGGGAGATGAGGAAGCCAGTCAGCGTTGGCATACAGCTAACATTTTTTTTTGGCTAGTGGCTAGGGTTGTTAGTGGGTGAAGTTTGAGGCACATCTTTATCTCATATGGTTATTAACCCCACAGCTATACATTTAGCAGTTTATAAAAAGCTTTGGGAAATCTTTATTTATTTCAAGCATCCAGATTTTTCTGCATCTTCTGCAACTATGAGAAGATATAGGAGACAAGAAGGAATATTAAAATCAAATATTTGAATAAAGGACCACACAAAAGAAGGAAAAGCTTCTTTTAATAGTTGAAATTTAAGTGAATTCACACGTTTTTGTTAAAACTGTAAGGGGAAAGACATAGTCTAGTAAGAAAAGATGGTCAGTGGAAATCACTAAAATGTGTAATCTACCAATTTGTTTACTTATTTTCTGTTTTCTTATGAGATCTTTTTACTCACGTGAATAGAAAACTTTTGTAAACTCTTTCATAAGTTTATTCTCTAATTTCATTGTTCCCTGTGAAGTCTTAAGTTTCTAACTAGAAATTTTTCCTACCATGAGGGTTTCTAATAATGTAACCCCCAAAGGTGGGAGAGAGTATTACACTTAGAAATGAAATGTGAATGTATTTATTTAGAAATACAGTATTTAAAATTAAATACATATTTTCTTAAATTTGGTCTTGGGTATGGCTTAGAAAAAACTGGAACAGCTACTCATCAAATACCCTCCTGAAGAAGTAGAATCTCGACGGTGGCAGAAGATAGCAGATGAATTGGGCAACAGGACAGCAAAACAGGTAATTGAGGAGATGACTGCAGATTGCTGGCATGCTTTTGGTAGTTTTTTAATAAAGGAGAATAATGCTGACATTGGGCGATCTGCCATAACACTTTCAGCTACAGAGTGCTGTAGTATGTTTTTTTTGTTTTGTTTTGTTTTTAAATTGTATATATTTTTGTTGATTTCAGAAACAAGTAACTTGAGATACTTCTGCTTTGGATCATTACGAAATATTAAAAAATGAACATATAATGGACTTAGTTTCTCTTGAATGCTTACTAAGTATACTAATTGTAAACTTTTTGGTTATACTGTGCAAACAGGTTTGTTTCATTGCCTTAGTATTCCCTGGTTGTCTTTCTAAAAATGTATCTTGCAGTTTACTCCTTCATATTCCCATCTATATTAATAGATGTGTTTTTATACTACAGACACAAGTGTTCATAAGTTGAAATATGTGTTTAGCTTTAGAATCAAATTTAAATTTACTTGAATAATTTTTGTTTGGCCTAGATTTTAAAATATATGTGTATTTGGTGACAGTTTATTGTTATTTTTAGATTCTTGATGAGTATTGAATTCTTAGCATTCATTAGATACTCATGTACGTTTTAATTTTTAAAAACAACTCAGGTATTGTACGTCATCTCATTGTGTTAAGAGACTTGTCATGTTTCTTTAGGTTGCCAGCCGAGTACAGAAGTATTTCATAAAGCTAACGAAAGCTGGCATTCCAGTACCAGGCAGAACACCAAACTTATATATATACTCCAAAAAGGTAAAAGAAAATACATGAAAGTAAACTGTAGATTAAATTTATTAAAGAATGACTATGTAAAAATGTACACATTTGACAGAATAGTGTTGCTGTATTTTAAAACTTCTGTTCATTCTAAGCATTTCCTTATATTGTGCATAAATGCAGGGTAAGGACTCCATTATTGCTACTCAGTGAAATTCTGTGAGCTTTAATGATTCTTCATTATTTTCTTAGGAGTAATATGAATGAGTGCTACTTGAAAGATTTTAGATTCAAAATATGTTAGAAAGGGCTTTGTGAGGGTAAAGTTTTTAGGATATTTGATTATTTAATAAATACAATCAATTTCTGTTTTGTAGATAATGCTATATAAATCCAAGAATAGAAAGATTTATTATATTCTAAAGCCAGGCACAGTGGTGTGCACCTGTTGCCCCAGCTACTTGGGAGGCTGAGGCACGAGGAACACTTGAGGCCAGGAGTTTGAGTCCAACTTAGGCAACATAGAGAGGTCCCATGTCTTTAAAAAAATAAAATATTTTATTTAATCCTTACTACAATTCTTGAAGTATAAATAGTCTTATCATCTTCACTTTACTGACATAATATTAATAGCTGTTATATTGAGGGTCTCTGAGCCAGACTCTACTGTTCTAAAACCTTTTATTAGATAAGGAAACTGGGCCCTCGGGTATGTTGAGTGAATTATCTGGTCACTTAGCTGCTAAGTCTGGGAACCACTGATTCTCTCTCATTCTGGTGCCACGCTTTTTCTACTATTCTCTGTTGCCTTCTACGGTGGAGAAGCTACCATTTCTTTCCCAAACAGGACACTACATTAAAATGTAGCCAGTTTCGGCCTGGCACAGTGGCCTGTAATCCCAGCACTATGGGAGGCCGAGTTCAGTAGATCACGAGGTCAGGACCAGTCTGACCAATATGGTGAAACCCCATCTCTACTAAGAATACAAAAATTAGCCGGGCATGGTGGCACACACCTGCAGTCCCAGCTACCCGGGAGGCTGAGGCAAAAGAATCGTTTGAACGTGGGAGGTGGAGGTTGTAGTGAGCCGAGATTGCGTCACTGCACTTCAGCATTGGTGACAGAGGGAGATTCTGTTTCCAAAAAAAAAAAAAAAAAAAAAAAAGGCCAGTTTCTTGTAATAGCAAAAAATAAAGACACCTAATTGGCTGTTTTAAGTTTCCTTAGTAAGTTATCCTGGTACTTCCCCCCCCGCCACCACTGCCATCTTTCTCGTAAAGAGAAGCTAAGAGTATATCTAGTGCTGTTACCCTTCCATACTGAAGCTATTTAATGTAATTTTACATTAAGAATATTGTCTATACAGTTTCATGTTTTACACATTTAAAAAAAAATTTTTTTTAACCAAGCTTGTTTTAATTTGCCAATTGTTTTAAATGTTTTGGATTTCCCACCAAATATAGCATAACCTGTGTTAGATATGTAGAGTTCATCCTATAACTGTGGAATATCGGAACCTTATGTTAATCAGTGTTTAATGTAAGAGTTCTAATTTTCATGGTTAATTTCTAAGCTAACGTTATAGATGTGTTGTAACCATATGTTTTCATAGTTAACACTGGATAATGATAACAAAAGGAATACTGGAGAACCTACATGTGTTTTTTTCCCTTAGGTGTACTGTATTTTGGCTGTGAAGATCTAGTACAGCTATATTTACAATGATTGTTTGCCATGGTTAAAGTTTAAATTTGGAAGCAGGTGAAATGATGGTTCTCCGTGTAGCTGAGGGTGTTCTTTGTGACTGTGCTATTGATCAAGACAGGCAGGCAGCATAGTGGTAGAAAGTGAGAATTTGGGCACCACACAGGCCTAGTTTATAATCCTTGTTCTACCACTATCTAGCTGCAACACACTGAACAAGAAACCTAACTTCCCTGTCCTCAGTTTTCTCATCTTTAAATTAGAGATGATGATAACTACTTTATAGGAATGTTGTAAGGATTAAATGACATCAGCATAGAGCAAACTTGTCCAACCCATGGCCCACATACCACCTGTAGCCCAGAACAGCTTTGAATGTGGCCCAGGACAGATTGATAAACTTTCTTAAAACATTACAATAGTTTCTTCTTTTTTTTTAGTGTTAGTGTATTTTATGTGTGGCCCAAGACAATTCTTCTTCTAATGTAGCCCAGGGAAGCCAAAGATTGGACAACCCTGGCATAGAATAAGCAGTCAGTCAATGTTAGATAAGTATTTTCAGATATTCATAATGTTATAGATATTTTCCTTTTATTGGGTAGTTTTATTCCTGGCATAGGCCACTTCATCCTCTCTGATCTTCTATAAGATGACCATAAGAGTTCAGTGCAGCCAGCATTTGACTGCCAAGAGTATGATAAATGCTGGGGATACAAATATAAGCTAGATACTGAGCATGTGGTTCATTTTACCATTGTTGGAGTATTTCCTCTACATTTAAAAGAAATTTTTTTAAGGCTAGTTATGCTTAAAATTAAACACAGAAAGCATAGAGAAAGCAACAACATAAGAGTATGCTAAAGGATAGAGTGAAATTCTTCTGATAGACTTGTTGGAAGTAACATTTGTATTTTTTATATTTCTGATTCTTGTAATGATTTTTCACTGTCCCAATTAAAAATTTGTTTTCTTATTTAGTCTTCAACAAGCAGACGACAGCACCCTCTTAATAAGCATCTCTTTAAGCCTTCGACTTTCATGACTTCCCATGAACCACCAGTGTATATGGATGAAGATGATGACCGATCTTGTTTTCATAGCCACATGAGCACTGCTATTGAAGATGCATCAGTAAGTTACCTATTTAGTTATTATACACATCAAGGTATAGAAGAGAGTAGGATTTTCTAAATATTCCACTCTTCAGAGAATGTTGGTTTCTTTTAATGAACAAGTCACATGTATAGTTTTTAAGTAATGTGCTTTTGTGAGGAAAATTTCAAACATATACAAAAATAGAATAGTATAATGAACCTTAGCAATTATCAACCTGAGGCTACCTTATTTTAATCTCTACTCCCTCCCTACCCACCTCAACTCTGCTCTGGATTATTTGGGAGCAAGTCCCAGATACTACACAACAAAATTTTCATATTTATAAAAGGTAATTTATTATATAGTGAAATGTATAGTCACCGTTCATTATTTTTTTTCTAATTTGTTCATTCAGGTTTGGATCCAAATAAAGCCCATAAGCCACAATAGGTTCATTCTCCCTCTTTCACTTTCCTTTTTTCCCCTCTCACAATGTTTTTGTTGAAGAACTGGTTCATTTGTCCTGTAGAATTTTCTAGTATGGATTTTATTGATTACATCTTCTTCTTGTCATTTAATCTGTTCCTCTGTTTTCTGAACTTCCTGTAAATTCATAGTAGGTCAAGAGCATTGATGAGATTCAGATGTATTTGTTTGTTAGGGTGGGCAGGACTACTTCAGGTTTACTTTTGTCAGCCTGGTTGTCTCTTTTTTTGGCATAACAGCCACTGATCATTGCCTAGATCGATTAATTCATTAGATGTTACAGAATAGTGATTATGCTATCATTTTTTCATTTACTTGATGGACTATTTTATAAAGTAATCCCCCTGCCCCCCAGTCAACTATTTGGTTACTCTGAGGTACATATAGAAAAGGTAGGATAATTGCTCGATTCTACCTTTATTTTCTTTTTCTTTTTCTTTTTTTTAGACAAAGTCTCACTCTGTCGCCCAGGCTGGAGTGCAGTGGTGTGATCTCGGCTCACTGCAGCCTCTGCCTTCCAGGTTCAAATGATTCTCCTGCCTCAGCCTCCTGAGTAGCTGAGACTACAGGCGTGTGCCACCATGCCCAGCTAATTTTTGTATTTTCAGTAGAGGCTGGGGTTCACCATGTTGGCCAGGATGGTCTCGATCTCCTGACCTCGTGATCCGCCTGCCTCGGCCTCCCAAAGTGCTGAGATTATAGGCATGAGCCACCATGCCTGACCTATTTTCTGGTTTTTAAAATAATGAGTTCATTTTGTCATATCCTTCAAAGATGACCAATGAGGTTTAAAAATTTTTTTGTATTCTTATAAACTATTGGCCGTAAGTGTATTTAATGTAGTTCAATTCATTGATGTTACTGCCTTTGTTAGTGTTCAAACTGGCCCATATTTGGATAGTTGTAGCCTCTTTAAGTTGGCTTCTAAGTTCTTTTGATAAGACTCTAATAGTGTTTAATAGCTTCTTTAATACCCGTTTTAACAAGGAAAATCCAGGCTTATCTTGTATATTTCCTGCCTCAGACCCAGAGTCAGTCCTTCCTTTTACTGGGAAATGGTATTTAGAGACTATATCCTGACTGTAGTAATGTTACTTGCTGCTGGGTTCACCTTTGTTTCTAGGCCTGTTAATGGACAGAGCTGGGAAATATGATACATTTTTATTTTATTTAAGGATGAAAGACATGATTAAGTTCATATTTTAATTTCAAATTCAATTTAAGAACTCTAGGACTTTTATCTACCCTAATTGTTCTTAAATATGTATCTCCTTTCTCCAGGTTAAAAGTCACAGTTCTCACTTCCTTTGTCTCACACTGCTCAGAACAATCTCAGAATATATTAATAACCAACACTACTATTAATACGGTTCCTGAAAACAGTTTGTTTTTCAGTTCTTTATTTTGTCTTTTATATATATATATCCCTCTACAGAAGTAAAGTCAAATTGGTTTTTAAATTATCTTGGAATAAATAATTCCTCTCAGTTGTTGCCATGGTTGGATATTAATTCACTTTATTTACTTTACATATATAGGGATTTCTTTTTGTTGCTGTTAATATTTTTTATTATTTTACTATTCCTGAAATTATTTTCTCAATATTTAACTGGATTCTGATTCCTTGACTAAAGGACATAAAGATTACCCTATATCTTCCTTAATACTCTGATTATATAGAATTGGAAAAGGATATTTTAATGAAAAGTTATCAAATAAAAAGTAAGCTCCTTGTTCTATAGATTAATCAAATACTGATTGTATACTTTGATATCAAACCACCTTAATAACTGTATTCATAAAAATTTTTAAATTTCCTTTTAAACCTGTCTTTTGAAAAATGACTATCTGCTGTGTCTTAAACATTAGCATTTATGTATAATTTCATACTTTGTGATGATTAGATTTGTACATCTGAGAAATGTTTATTTAAATTTACTGTTAGGCTTTGCTAGGGGTTAGATACATAGTTATGAACAAAATATGTCTGATCTTTGTGCTCATAAATTGTAGTCTTGTGGGAGAAGATAAATGTGTAATCACATCAGTAAATCACACATTTAAAAAAGTGCCTCAGACCGGGCACTGTGGCTCATGCCTGTAATCCCAGCACTTCGGGAGGCTGAGGCGGGCAGATCTCCTGAGGTCGGGAGTTCAAGACCAGCCTGGCCAACATGGTAAAACTTCGTCTCTACTTAAAAAAAAAAAAAAAAAATTAGCCGGGCATGGTGGCACGTGCCTGTAATCTCAGCTATTCAGGAGGCTGAGGTGGGAGAATTGCCTGAACCTGGGAGGTGGAGGTTGCCAGGAGCTGGGATTGCGGCTCTGCACTCCAGTCTGGGCAACAGGAGCAAAAGCTCCATCTCCAAAAAAATAAATTAAAAAGTGCTTCAAAGGAAAAATAGATGCTAACATAATTATTTAAGAGGTACTTAATTTAGATTGAGAGTTTCAGGGGAAGACCTGAGAGGGTGACAGTGAAGATGGTACTTGAAGTATGGATAAAAATTGGCCAGATGAGGAGTGGTGGTGGAGTACTTAAAAGAAGTACAGTTTGGCTCGGCGTGGTGGCTCACAACTGTAGTCCTAGTACTGTTGGAAGCTGAGGCAGGAGGATCACTTGAGCCTTAGAGTTCAGGACCAGCCTGGGCAGCATATCGAGACCCCATCTCTACAAAAAAGAAAAAAGAAAAAATTATTAGCCTGGCATGGTGGTGCATTCCTGAAGTCCCATCTACTCAAGAGGCTGAGATGGGAAGATTACTTGAGCCTGGAAGATTGGGCCTGCAGTGAACCTGGATGATGCCACTGCATTCCAGCCTGGGCGACAGAGGGAGACTCTGTCTTAAAAAAAAAAAAAACAACAAAAAGGCCAGGGACGGTGTCTCATACCTGTCATCCCAGCACTTTGGGAGGCTGAGGCGGGCAGATCATGAGGTCAAGTGTTGGAGACCAATCTGGCCAACATGGTGAAACTCCGTCTCTACTAAAAATACAAAAATTAGCCGGGCATGGTGGCACATGCTTGTAGTCCCAGCTACTTGGGAGGCTGAGGCAGGAGGATCGCTTGAACCCAGGAGGCAGAGGTTTGCAGTGAGCCGAGATCGTGCCACTGCACTCCAGCCTGGGAGACAGAGTGAGATTCCGTCTCAAAAAACAAAACAAAACAAAAAAACCCAAAACCCTCAGAAAAACCCACAAAAAAACAAAACCCAAAGGTACAGTTTGACAAATTGGCAAAATACAGTAGAGTGGATTGGATTTGATGTAATTTTTGTTGTTGTTGAGTTTATTTATTTATTTAAAAATGAGTGCCAGTTGAAATTATTCTGATCACTTTAAAATAGCTACTCAAAATGTATATTTATGAAGCATCTTGTGGAAAAATTTATAGATTTTAGTTTCTCTTTTCAAAAAGCAATAGCCAGAACAATTATTTATATGTTATTTCCTCTGTGGCTTCAAAATCTGTATACAGTTTTAGCTCCATTTGATATTAGTCCCCTTTAAGTAAGTTTAAAGTGATTATGATTAGGAAATCTATGAGGTTTAAAAAATTTTTTGTTTTAATTATGGTAAAATACACATAACATGAAATTTACCATCCTCACCATTTTTATAGTATAGAGTTCAGCAGTGCTACGTACAGTCACATTATTGTGCAGCCAGTCTCCAGAGCTCTCAGCTTACCTGACTCAAACTCTGTACCTATTAAACATCTGCCCAACACCCCTCTTTCTAGCCTCTGGCAATCATTATTCTGCTTTCTGTATCTATAAATTTGACTACTCTGCATTCCTCAAATAAGTGGAAGCATACAGTATTTGTCCTTTTGTGACTGGCTTGTTTCACCCAGCATATGCTCTTCAGGGTTCATCCATTTTGTAGCATGTATCACAATTTCCTTTTTAAGGCTGCATTATATTCCATTGTATGCCACATTTTTATCCATTCATTTGTTGATGGATACTTGGGTTGCTTCCGCCTTTTGGCTATTGTGAATAATGCTACTGTGAACATGGGTATACAAATATCCTGCTTTCAGTTCTTTTGGGAAGTAGAATTGCTAGATTGTATAGTAATTTTATGTTAAACTTTTTGAGGAACCACCATATACTGTTTTCCATAGGAGCTGTACCATTTACATTCTCACCAGCAGTGCACAAGGATTCCAGTTTATTTACATCCTTGCCAACATTGGTTATTTTTTGTTTTCTTTTTTTAGTAGTAGCCACCTACTAGGTGTGAGGTGATTTAACTTTTCTTAACCTTAGCCTTGCTGATCACATGTAATCATATCCTTAGCATTTAAATGCAAATTTAAAAATTAAAAGTGTTTACACTCTTTGCATTTGCAAAATACCTGAATTAAGTAAATTTCATTGTGACATTTCTTACTATATTATCTAATTATTTGGGTCACTTATTTATTAGTGTATAGCATTACTTTTGTTGTCTTTCTCAGTGGTGACACAGGATGGTAATAATCATCTAACATCTTTAGTTGACAAGAATTTGAAATGGATAGTGGGGACAGGCGCAGTGGCTTGTGCTGTAATCCCAGCAATAAGTGAGGCCTAGAGGAACAAATCGCTTGAGCCCAGAAGTTCGATACCAGCCTGAGCAACATGACGAAACCCATTTCCACACACACACACACACACACACACACACACACACACACACACACAAATTAGCCAGGCTTGGTGGTGTGCACCTGTCATACCAGCTACTCAGGAGGCTGAGGTGGGAGAATCGCTTGAGCTTTGGAGGTTAAGGTTGCAGGGAATCCCACCATTGCACTCCAGTCTGGGTGACAGAAACCCTCTCTCAAAACAAAAACAAAACAAAGCAAAAAAACAGGAAAAAGTGGGAGATAGATCGATGAAGTGTGAAATTGTAAAGAATCTTTTACTCAGCTGAAGACTTTGGACTTGATGCTGTAAATAGTCAGGAAACCATTGGGAACTTTTAAGTAATAGTAGGGGCAAAGGAGGGGGTGGATACTAGAGGACCGATTTGAGAGAGATTGTAGAAGATATTAAGAAATGACAGGATTTGTTACATTCGATATAAAATGGAGTGAAAAACTGAGGATAACACTTAGATTTCTGACTTGGGCTGCTTTGTGTAAGCTTTTGTTTTCTTGATGTAAAATAACATAGCACTTAATACCTAATGTAGCAGGAGGAATGGGTGGGGTAGGGCTTGTCTGGTCCAGGATTGGGAATTTACAGAACATGGATCAGAGAATTGCAGATGCTTTTAGGAAATTAGTGAGCATGGGATCAGTCATGAGTAGCAAAGGAAAGAAATGGATCCTGGGTGGCAGAGCACAAATGAATTGGGAGAATAGGAAGCAGAATAGTGATTAGAAATTTCAATGAGGTTAAAAAAAAAGCTGATTATTTGGGGTGAGAATATGAGAGAAGTAGGAATAACAGTGGAGGTAGGAAATCTAAGCTTAATATTTTGGATGTAAAATACTTAGAGTTGAAGGCAAGGTCCAAGGTATGGCTGTTGGAATGGGAGACTCTGAGAAGGAATGAAGATGAAGATCATTTCAGTAGAATCAGTCTAAGATTAGAGGCCAGAAATAGCGAGTTGGGCATCTGTGATAATCTTGAAGTTGTCTAGGATGATGAACCACAGTGTTGTCAGCAATTTTAAATAGACGAATTTTGCATGTTAACATTTTTGAGTAGAAAACTGCTGTCAATTGGGAGGTGGGGGATGGTCCTGAACATATGTATCTAAAAGTTCGGAATCATAAATAGACTTTATACCTTGAAGACCAGTTTATTAAGGGATACTTCAATTTAATATATTATTTTTAAATTTTGAGACGGAGTCTCGCTCTGTCTCCCAGGCTGGAGTGCAGTGGCATAGTCTTGGCTCACTGCAACCTCCGCCTCCCAGGTACAAGCAATTCTCCTGCCTCAGCTTCCCGAGTAGCTGGGATTATAGGTGCGTGCCACCATGCCCAGCTAATTTTTGTATTTTTAGTAGAGACGGGCTTTTGCCATGTTGGCCAGGCTGGTCTTGAACTCCTGACCTAAAGTGGTCTGCCCATCTCGGCCTCCCAAAGTGCTGGGATTACAGGCGTGAGCCACTGCACCTAGCCTGCTTAATTCATTTATATAGTTTTTACTGTTTATTTCTTTTACAGTCTATTGTAAATAGTCATCTTTGTAACTCAGTTCATCCTGTTGAGTAAGAGAGAAGTGTTCTACTTTGATCATTGGGAGTACAGAGCAAAAAACAAGAGCAGAGATTGGTTTGTTTATTATTGAGAAAGTGTCATGTTTACAGGAGCAAATGTAAGAACCTGTTAGATTGGAGAAAAGAAACTTCCTTAAATGAGGGAGAAGTAGATTACAGGTCACTCAGGTAACCGTGAAAATGTAAAGATGGGATTGGGTTTGCAATAGTGTGTAACAGAGGTGAGAATCATGGCCGCGCTTCCCTTTTACCTGCATTGAAGTAGTCTGCTACAATTCAGAATTACTATTGTGTTTAAAGAAAAGTCCTCCAAAAGCATTAGTGGAAAATACTGCTAATAGCAGCACTAATTTTCTATGAGTACTAAAAGGTATTTTAAAAATGAAAAATATCAGTAGAAAAATATTCTGTATCAGTATTTCTTACCCTTAATTCATTTTCATTACCAAACCAACATTTTTATTTTGTTTTTTTTGATAGGATGACGAAAGTATTCCTATTATGTATAGGAATTTACCTGAATATAAAGAACTATTACAGTTTAAAAAGTTAAAGAAGCAGAAACTTCAGCAAATGCAAGCTGAAAGTGGATTTGTGCAACATGTGGGCTTTAAGGTAAGTTCTACTTAATTTTAGTATTCATTTAATTTTATTTTTTTATTTATTTAGAGACAGAGTCTTGCTCTGTTGCCCAGGCTAGAGTGCAGTGGCATGATCTCAGCGCACCGCAACCTCTGCCTCCTGGGTTCAAGCGATTCTCATGCCTCAGCCATCCAAGTAGCTGGGATTATAGGTGTGCGCCACTACGCCCAGCTAATTTTTGTATTTTTAGTAGAGATGGGGTTTCACCATGTTGGCCAGGCTGGAGTATTCATTTAATTTAAAAGGGTGATAAGAGTTAAAGTGGTTTCTGTAGTGTTAAACTCCAGAATTGCTAAGCATGTAGGAAAAAAGTTTATCTTTTATCCCATTCATTTATACAAAGTAATGGTGCCATCGTTCCTGATGTGAAGAGTGTATTATTTACCAGAGTGAAGACAAACATACAGGTAGCTATCAATTGAGGTAAAATGTGAGGCGCTTTTATTTAGCTGTTTCTCTTTTTGTTGCTGTTGTCCGTGGATCAGAAATGGGGTTTTTTTCCCCTTTCTGATTGAGAGGCTAATAGAAATACATATACTTATTCCGCAGACTTTTGTAACACACATTATGTTCCAGGCACTTTGCTAAGTGCTAGAGATTCAGCAGTAAACAAGACAGACTCAGTTCTTGCCCTTATGTTGTTTTCATTCTCATAAGGTATTTAGAGAAGTTAAACAAAATAGTTGAGTGTGGCTAGAGTACATACTAGAGAGTAGTTAGAGGCTGCTTGCACCGCCTTGGAAATTTTGCCAAGGAACTCACACTATCCTGAGGTTGTGGGGGAACCATTGAATGATTTTAAGCAGAAAGTAACATGAAATTTACGTTTTGAAAAGATCATTCTAGTTACTTAAACTATTGGGGGTGATGATCTTTAGGAAAGCAGTGGGTTTGAAACTGACCAGCTTTTCCCCTCATCATTTTGGCCATAGTATGGAAACTTAATTAGAGGAAGGCAAGACTAGAGTCAAGGAAACCGGTTAGAGATTCTTTTGATAATTTAGACAAAAGATGAGGGTGTCCTGAACTTGACTGGTGGCCATGGAAATAAAGATTGGCAAGCTTGAGAAGCCTTTAGGCATTAGAATTGACTTGGTTGGACTGGAGGAAGTAATAATGAGACCATAAACTTGGTGGTGTTGGTGGGTAGACAGGAAAGTATTGATGTGTGCTGTGACTGGTAAACCAAATTGAAAACAAAGTTGTACCTTTGATCCTCTAGAGTAGGCAGTAATCATACTATATTAAATGATTTTCCCTCTTGATCTTTCAGTGACCCTACTTCTCCATTAGAGATTTTCCTAACTGGCAGCTCTGGCCTTTCAAAAAGAAACTTGCTTCCCTTCTCCTAATTTTGCTGCAAAACCCAGCCATGGCTTGTTTGCCAGTCTGGCAGCCACTATAGTTGACCAGATGATCAAAGAAACTAGAAATGATATATCGTTTGATTTCCAGAAGTGCACAGAATACTCTGAGGACTATCATGATGCCACCACGCTGAAAAAGAGCCAGATCTGCCTTTTTCACCTGATGGGCATTGGTTATTAGGAGTCTTTAGGCTTTGGAGAGTGATTCAATAAGATAAAATTCAGACAGAATTTTACTGTTGCCTGCGTTCCTGTCAGCCAAGAGAACCTGTTAAAACAATTCTGTATCATATTTGGATAGTTTTAACTATGGTATTAACTCTCTGTTTCTCAACCATAGTCATCATACAGTGGTCTGAGTTACCTTTCAAGTAGATGGTTACAAATAACAAAACCACCCAAGTTGAAGATGATTTACTTTTAAAAATTTTTAAATAAATTTAAGCTGATTGAAGATTATCCCTTCTAATGTTCCTCTCACTCATGCATACCTTGATGTTGAGTGGATGGAATTTTACCTAGTTTGCTAGAAATTATCTCTGACATATAACCATTTGTGTGGTATATTACTGTCCTGTGCATGGAGAGATAGGAGAAGATGTCTATGTGCACATCGTATGTTTCCTTGTGGAGAATAAAAAGTCGTGGAACAGTATAATTTAATACATTTTCTCTCTGAATCTGTTATAGTGTGATAACTGTGGCATAGAACCCATCCAGGGTGTTCGATGGCATTGCCAGGATTGTCCCCCAGAAATGTCTTTGGATTTCTGTGATTCTTGTTCAGACTGGTAAGTATTTTCTTCATTGTCAGTCTTCAACTTAGACAAGAAAAGAGCTTCTCAGCCATTAGTGAATTTGATTTCCAAACATAGAAAATATTAATAGTCACACTGAGTGAATTAAACTTTGTTGTTCTAGGCAATTAATTTTTTCCTGTAATCATACCACATATCAGGTAACTTTGCATTACAGATTTTGATAGATTAATGGATTTAAACAGGGAGAGCTGTGAGGAGGCTTTGTAATACACAGACTAAAATGCATCCAATACCTTGTAATGATATGTGTCTTTTTTTCTTTGCAGCCTACATGAAACAGATATTCACAAGGAAGATCACCAATTAGAACCTATTTATAGGTCAGAGACATTCTTAGACAGAGACTACTGTGTCTCTCAGGGCACCAGTTATAATTACCTTGACCCAAACTACTTTCCAGCAAACAGATGACATGGAAGAGAACATCATTTACTAGTCCTCTTCAACACATAGCAATGGTATCATTGTTAATTATGTGCACAGTTTGGAAAGATTCTCTGCTTTCCCAGAAATGACACTCACAGCATGAGAGCTTCCTGAGTGTTCTCGTCAAGTACAGCTCTGCACCGTTGTGGCTCTAGATCACTGTTCAGCAGCTGAACATTCCTGGTGAGCAAAGGGTTTCCCTGGTGAATTTTTCACCACCGCATTTTAGGTGGTGATCTTAAATGGGTGAAATGGAACGAGAGCACACATTAAAGAGAGAGTAAATTCCAAAGGTTTCAAAGAACTTGGTGATAAATATGATAATGAGAAGACAAAGTATTTATATTAAAACAGTTTAGTAGCCTTCAGTTTTGTGAAAATAGTTTTCAGCACAGAAACTCACTTCTTTAGACAAAGTTTTAACCAATGATGGTGTTTGCTTCTAGGATATACACTTTAAAAGAACTCACTGTCCCAGTGTTGGTCATTGATGGCCTTTAGTAAATTGGAGCTGCTTAATCATATTGATACCTAATTTCTTTTAACCACAATGAATTGTCCTTAATTACCAACAGTGAAGCACTACAGGAGGCAACTGTGGCACTGCTTCCTTAACCAGCTCATGGTGTGTGAATGTTATAAAATTGTCACTCAGATATATTTTTAAATGTAATGTTATATAAGATGATCATGTGATGTGTACAAACTATGGTGAAAAGTGCCAGTGGTAGTAACTGTGTAAAGTCTCTAATTCACAACATTAATTCCTTTAAAATACACAGCCTTCTGCCTCTGTATTTGGAGTTGTCAGTACAACTCATCAAAGAAAACTGCCTAATATAAAAATCATATATATGGTAATAATTTCCCTCTTTTGTAGTCTGCACAAGATCCATAAAAGATTGTATTTTTATTACTATTTAAACAAGTGATTAAATTTAGTCTGCGCAGTGAGCAAGAGTTCACATGCATTCTTTTATACTGCTGGATTTTGTTGTGCATCATTTAAAACATTTTGTATGTTTCTTCTTATCTGTGTATACAGTATGTTCTTGAATGATGTTCATTTGTCAGGAGAACTGTGAGAAATAAACTATGTGGATACTGTCTGTTTATATTATAGAATGTTTGTTGTGACTTCCTTTTGGTTAGATTTTGGATTTTTTTTTTTTTTTAACCAGTGTTAAAACCAGAAATTGGTATTTTTAAAAATGGTTTGCTTCACATATTTAAGAGTTTTCTTTCCGTCATTTATGAAGAATAAGGAATATATTATGGAAAAGAGGGTGATCTTAAGCAACCCTGTAAAAGACGGTAATGTTTTTTACTCAGTGTGTGCCAAAACACTAAATTAAACTAGCTTACAAAAAGGAAACACAGACCATGGTTAAAGAAAAAGGCAGTTATTAATGCTGAGGTGTGAATACTAAAGTTGAAATTTTTTTTTTCTAGTTGTGTCTCATGAAAATAAGCCCCCATGTATTTAAACAGATGGCTTTTGAAAAATCACCTTGTTTCCTGGAAATTATTATTAACTATAGGAAAAGATAGTATAAATATTCTAAGATTGATTGTTATATTTGACCCAATTTTTAGAATCACCTGTTTTTTCCTATTTTAAATCAAGGGAACATTATTTACTAGTTCTCTTCAGTACATAGCAGGGTACTAAAATCATACCCTGAATTGTTTTTTAATTGAGAAAAGTAATAAAATTTTAAATATAGAAATATGAGAATTTTAAAGTAATATATTGATTAAAGATCACTGATGATATAGATATAATATATCATAACAGAAGGAAAAGTAATGGACTTGAGCTTAACTTCTCACCCTGGAATTATTAGTGGGGTGAAGAGGGAAATCATTAGCATTCTGGGCATTTTTATATTAAATGGTTTGTGAATATGCCAGAAGATCTGCTTTCAACTTGTAATTAGACAAGATAGTAACACTTGATGGTAACTTCTATGTTTGTGTAGAAATAATACCAGTTAGTTTTGGAAAGCCATTCAGATCCATTCAAAAATTCCATAAAGTATGATGTATGCTTTGGAAGAGGGCTATGAGTGATACAATTGTTATATAAATGGAATAGACAAACCACTTGAATGCATTTTTCAAGGGCAAACATTTTTTGAGATTTTTGAGTAATAGAGGATTTTTCTGCTTGAGCAGAAGGTGTGTTTGTTTTGCATTTTTCAGCTCCAAGCAAATAGCCCCCATGGTTTTAAAAGGCCCTGAAGTTCGGATAGTAGTAGGTAGTGTTTTGTTGTTGTTTTAATTTGAGAGTTGCAGGAATAATGGGCAGAGCTGTCATTTGCCAGTCGGCCACCATCTGCCTACAGAGAATTATTGGACTGAAAGCTAAAACAGACTGTAAAAGACCTACTTGCTAAAGCATTGCTTATTCAGTGGTATTCAGTAGATAAGATCTATTTCCTGATATATTGTGCTCAAGTTATTTGCACATCTTAAGAAACTTTTAATATCTAAAACCATTGCTGTAAGGTTTAGGCAGAGGAGGTTTCCTTTCGTGTGATGCATAATAATAATAGAAAACACTGATACAGTGTTTACTATGTGCCAAGCAAGCATATAATAACTAATTCTTAACTGTATGAGGCAGGTTCATTTATTATCCTGTTGTCATATGAGGAAATCTAGCCAGAGAGAAGTTAACTAACCTGCCCAAGGTCATATAGTTAGTAAAGCGGTGATGCTTGAATTTTAACCTAGACAGATTACTTCAGAGTCAGCGTCTGCCTTACTACCCTGTTTCCTGAGCAGGAATTTCCCCTTGTGTCAGGCAACACTAGGTGTTAGGAGTGGAGGTGTGCAGGTGTTGCCTTACATTCTGTTTTCCTGATGTCGTGTGCTTTCTAAGAGTACAGACCTGAGCATATGTCCAGGCTTGCAAAGTCTCAGGCAAAGGTGGGACTACAGCTTGTGTTTCCTGCCTCGGGTAGGATTTTCTTCTATGCATGTTGGGTGCTTCTCACTTAACCTAATAGTATGCCTTGTCTGTTTTCCCCCCTTCCCCTTTTTGTTTAAATTAATTCACAGAACACAAAAATTTGCTAGGTATGAGGAACATTTAAAAAAATGAAATAGAGAAAATGGTACATCACATGTAATAAAGATAAATAGTTTTGTGAAATGTCTTTTTCAATCATATATATAAGTGTTGTGTGCTATATAAAACTATTTCTTATTGTGGATAATGAAGTTTGAAGCCTGTTGTTCATCTATGGATGCACTGGATGGGATTGGAAGTCTTCAGATTTCAGTAGGTTCTTCCACAAGCTTATGAAGACATTGTCCTGTTTAGGCTGTAAACTGTTTTTATTTCTTGATGAAAAGTGTTCTTCTACTTATGTGATCCCTTTTTTTCTACAGTTCATGTAGCTAGTTAACTAGACTTTTCAGAGTTATAATACATTTAGCTCCATGAGAACAGAGACCATCCATGTCTGTCTGTATCTCTAGGGCCTGGCATTTAATCGATTCTCAATAAATATGTGTTGGTTCTATGACCAACATTTTGGTCAGTTTACATTTTTTTTCTCCAGGAACTTAAGAGACACCACCTATTACTGAGTATGTCTGTGAGATCCTTAAGAGGCCTTGCATCAGAAGGTCATCTTGACAATGCTGTGAGAGGACGGGGGAATTGGATTCTATCTTACCCGAAGGCTGTGGTTCAACACTGGGTGGCAGACGTGGTTTTGGTTCTCTGTGGGGCCCTAGTATCTTGGTTCTCTTCCATGTTTTTAAGAGTAATGTAATGAGGCTGGGCACAGTGGCTCACGTCTGTAATCCCAACACTTTTGGGAGGCCAAGGCAGGTGAATTGCTTAAGCCCAGGAGTTGATCAAGACCAGCCTGGGCAACATGGCAAAACCTTGTCTTTACTAAAAATACAAAAAAATTAGCTGGACATGGTGGCTCATGGCTGTAGTCTTAGCTACTCGGGAGGCTGAGGCTGGGGGATCACCTAAACTTGGGAAGTTGAGGCTGTGGTGAGCCAAGATGGTGCCATGGCATAATAGCCTGGGGGAGAACGCTGTCTCAAAAAAAAAAAAAAAGGTAATGGAAAGGACACTGGAGTGAAAATTCTGGGTCTTAGTCCCAGTCGTGGAAGTGAATCATTCAGTAAGTGTTTACAAAGAACTACCTTTCATTGCACGTTAGGAGCTAGTAAATGATTCGTGTGTCTTACTAACTTTTGTTTAATCCTCACAGTTCCTCTATGAGGTTCATTACTATTATGTTCTCCATTGTATACATGAGAAAACTGGAGGTGCAAAGAGTATGTTAAATATGTTAGCTCTCAATAGTAATTACTGTGTTTGGGACTGGAGATACCAAGCCGTGTCCTTATGGAGGTTATAATCTAATGCAGAAGACCAGCAATAAGTAAGTAAAATAAAAACTAGTCATTGCAGGCAGGGATAAATGCTAAGAAGATAAATATGCTCAGAGAAAAATAATAATGGGAGAATGGCGAATAGTCTGCCATTTTAGATGGAATAAGCAGAGAAATCCTTTATTGGCCAGGGTAAATTCAAATAGAAACCAGAATGGAGCAAGGGAATTTGCTGCATGAATAATCTGTAGGAAGAGGCAGAAGGATAGCAATAGCACACAGGCCCTGAGCCAGTAGACTGTGGCTTGTTCTGGCAACATAAGATGGCCAGAGTAGCTTAAGCCAAATGAGCAAGAGCAGAGTAGTACTTGATGGCATCAAAGAGGGCACAGGCCAGCTCAGATGCGGCCTTGAATACACATCATTGTAAAGGAGTTTAGATTATGTTCTGATATCTTCTACATACACACACGTCTTTTGCTAGACAGAGACCTCTAAGGTCTTTTCCAGTATTAAAATCTTATGACTTTAAAGTAGTGATACCATTTCAAGCCATTCAAATCAGCAATGTGTTCTAGAGAAGAGTTGATTTGCACTTCTAGATACTCTTCAGGGGCAAAGCCATTTACCCTTGCTAAATTTTTCAAGGTGGCTGTCAGCTGTAGCTGTAAGAGCCTGTGGTTGGACCTTTCTGCCCCTCTACTGTCTCATTTTTCTTACCTATGCAGTCAGAGCTGTGCTGGGCATGGACTGTGTTTGCCAGTATATGGTATGTGTTTCAAGAATGTTAATCCCTACAGAGTCATTTTATGTTTTCTGGCACAACTGATGATTTTCTTCCTGTAACCTTTGTTTCCAGTTTGCTCAAGTACTTATGCTCCCCGATAGAGAGTGTGACAACTTGGGGTAGTAATAAAGTAAAGTATATGACAACTGTTGGAGTTGTGGGAACATGCCCCCTTTTGTTAATAGAGGCATAATTGTAACCAAAGAAATTTAATTTCTTCTTTAGCAAACACTGACATTTCTGTTTCAGAATGAGTGCTAAAGAAAAAAGGAAATATGAAAGTTACCATGTATCATGAATACATTGAGTTCTCTCTGTTAATAACTCAAAACTGATCTATAGCTAAAATTAAAAACATATAAGCGTATCGTAAATCTTGACTATGTCTGTGTTCACCTCTAATTCTGTTTGGAATAAGGCTTCAAATGCTTTCCAGAATGATGTGAGTTACAAATAAATAGAAAAAGAGTTATCCTGTCTTCCATTTATTTTATTTGTACATATCCATTTCAAGAAAAAAAGAGACTTAAAAAATACAATTCTATCCCAGAAATGGATCCTTATCTGCACAACCATTGAAGAAAAAAAAATCATGCAAACTGAAACTATGTTTTTTTGTAGTGACTGAGTGGAAGATGCAGTTATTCCAGTAGAATATATAAGAAGCTCTGATTTTACAACTGATAGCACAAAAGAAAACCCAAACTTCACTGGTTTAATGCAAGGAAACACAATTTTGCATATGGGTATGACAAGGTTTGCAAACTTCTGGAAAGGGCCCATATGAAACAAACACAAGATTGAACACACCACTTACTGACATGCCCCTCCTACCCACATCAGGTTTGTTACGGTATTTTTCACTTGCTTGGAAACAAATAAATGGGTGACCATTTAAAATCAAAATTATACTTTGATATGTGCCCAATGAATGAAATTGCAAATATCTCATGCTTTTAAATTACTTTTGGTCATTGATATTAATTTATAATTGCTGAAATGCATCACCATGTAGAGAAGAGACTAGGTTACACAATTTATCAGATTTGTTCCCTTAGCCATAATGACAGTATTCCAAAGTTCTTAAAAATAATAGCGAATGTTACTGATGACTAACGTGGGTTTTACCATCTTGGAAAACCTATACAATTTCATATTTTAAAATTTCTGTCAAATTTTGCTTGATGCCTCTATATCATGTACAAGGCATTGTGTAATCAACTCACCTTATGGCTCTGAGCCACCAGAAGATGAGAGTTGACGAAACAGCCAGACACCAAAGGAAGATGGCCAGGGCTGTCCCCTGTGCCAGGGGCCTCCACTGGGGAACAGTATGTAAATCTTGGGGAGAGGAAGATGTGACTGGGAGTTAGGGATGCTTAATGAGAGGAGAACCAGATGATCAGGGTGTAGCAAGGCCTGTAATCACAACAGGCACAGACTGGTACTGCACCACTGTTTATGTACTGACTAGCTCTGAGTGTGGCCTGCATGATATACAGTGTGTGTGCTGTGAGTGCAGACAGTTGTCTGAAGTGTGGAGAAGAGGTTGATAGTCCCAAATACACCATGCATGATTTCCAGATACCTCTCACACAGGTCTAGCTGGGAAGCAAACAGTGCTGTCAGGATTTAGGGGGTGGGGGAGTGGGGGCAGGGGGCACAAAAGGTTTAACTTGAAACATTGTGTTAAGGAATGAACTTTTTAATGTTTTTCTGTTTCCACTCTAACAAACATGCATTTTCGCCTTCAGAAAATAGAGTCAATAGCTGTGCAGAGTTGAAGAAAAACGTCCTCTGGTGTTCCCTCTGCATTTATCTATATTTAAAAGGAAAAAAAGAGAGTTAGTCTGAAATATTTGTAAATAAAATCATGTTTAATAATGAAAGATCACTATCAATTGCTCATAATTTGCTCTGCAAAATTTTAAAACACAAGACCCTCCAAAACAGAGAAAAAAGTGAAGAGTAGTGGTTTTAAAACTACATGTCTCAATTAAAACAACAATGAAGTACCACTACACATCTATTAGAATAGTCAAAATCCAAAGCACTGACACCACCAAATGCTGGTGAGGACATGGAGCAATAGGAACTCTCACTCATTGCTTGTGGGAACACAAAACGGTACACCCACTTCAGAAGACACTGCAGTTTCTTAAACTGAACATACTGTTACCATACTTTTTAGCAGTTGCACTTCTTGGTGTTTTACCCAAATGGGCTGAAACCTGAGCATCTACCCAAAAACCTGCATATGGATGTTGACAGCAACTTCATGCATAATTGACAAAACTTGGAAGCACCCAGGATGATCTTCAGCATTTTAATGGATGGATAAACTGATATATCCAGATGCACAGGGGAGTATTATTCAGTGCTAAACTTTATATTACTCAGTGATTCAGGCTTCTCTGAAGAGGGTACATATTGTTTGGTTCCAATTATATGATTCTGGAAAAATCAAAACTGGAGACAGGTTTAAAAAGATCAGTGGTTGATGGGCAGAGGGCAGGTGGAGATGAGAAGGTAGAGTACAGGATTTTTAGAGCAGTGTAACTAGTCTATGGGAACGCTGCTCAATTTTGCGGTGAACCTAAGACTTCTCTAAAAAGGAAGGCCTATTTAAAACAAGTCCCTAGGTAAAGCATTGCTATGGTCATGGAAAGACTTTGGAGTTACCTAAAATGAGACTTCTGAGTGTTCTGGTGCATTTGGGAATAGTAAGGAGATTGGGGCATGAGGGAGAGAGGTGTGGAGAAGAAAGCAAAAGGCTAGGACCACAGTGTGTAGGTGTGCTAAAGGCAAAGTCTGCTTGGAGACTGTTGACATGCCAGCCCAAGGAGGACATATCAAGGGAAGCTGACTTTCTGGGCACGAAAGTACTGCCCCTTCCCCTGTCCTAACATTGCACCAACCGCTGAGATTTGTTCCATTACACCTGTGTCGTCTACGGAAAGTAAAGGCCTGGCCAAGCACAGGAAGCACGTGGGAGGCCAGGGGAATGCTGGTGGCGTGCATCAACTTCCACAAGTGTCACCCAGGTTACTTTGGTAAAGTTGGTTATGAGGCATTACCACTTAAAGAGAAACCAGGGCTTCTGCCCAACTCTCGACCTTGACAAATGTAGACCTTGGTCAGTCAAGAGACATGAGTCATCACACGCTGACAAAAATAACAACAACAACAATAATAATAATAATAAATAAAACAGGTTGGAGCTGCTCCCATCATTGATGGAGTGCTATGGGCTACTGCAGAATTCTGAGGAAGGGAAACTTCCAAAGTAGCCTGCTGTCATGAAGGCCAAGTTCTTCAGCAGGAGAGCTGGGAGAAGACTAAGGATGTATATATAGGGGGAAATAGGGAGGCTGTGTCCTGGTGACTTGACGCCACAAGGAGGGAGCTTAACTAAATGCTAACAAATGAAAAAAAAAAAAAAGGAAAGGGTTGGTGATCTACATGAGTCATGGGGTGGGTGGTAAACTTGCTAAAACACAGCTTTCCAGGCCGTATCTGCAGAGGGTCTTGTTTGGTGGGTTTGGACTGGGTCTTTAATCTGTATATTTAACAAATTCTCCACATGATTTTGTTGTGGGCCATCTTGGAGCACACTTCGAGAAACACAAAGTTTTCAAACGTACATTTTCAAGCACACTTTGAGACTCTTGTCTACCTATCCAAATCTTCGTGCAAAACTAGTTTGCATTTTTCTACCCCTAGGGATTTCACTGCTTCCAGAGGTAGAATGAATTCTCAACACCATCAACAAAAAGCATGTTGCATGTTTAAATACTGGAGAAAATGGATACCACAATATTAATGGATACAACAATATTAATATAATGACTGTCATTCCCAAACTGGAAAAATCCTGTATGTCCATTAACAAGAGATGGATAAATTGTGACATAGTCATATAATGGAATACTATAGTAATTAAAAGAAAAAGAACCACAGCTATTTCAACAACATGGATTAATTTCACAAGCTTGAGGGACACAAGCCAGTCTCAAGAATATGAATACAGTAGGGTTCAGTTTATATAAGGTTTAAAAAAAAAAGCTATTTTGGTTAGCGATCCATACGTAGGCAATAAAGTCATAAAGATAGAAGCAAGGAAATGATTATCATGAAAGCCAGGATAGTAGTTACTTCTTGGGGAGAGGAAGGAAGCTGTGACAGGGGAGACATATGGGGAGGGTGGAGCTTCTGCAATTCTTTTCTATTTCTCGTCCTGCATGGTGGTTATATGAGTGTTCATTTTATTCCTCAAACTCTACATACTACTTTTATGCATTCCTGTATGTATGATATAGCCCACAATAAGGGAAAAATCAGTTTTTTAAAAGTTCTTTTCCCCTCTCGTAAATATGTCATACTTTATCCTTACAGGAGACTCAAATACAGCAATCTGCAATTTGTCTGTCCAGCTAGAGGTTCTACATCTGGACGGTAGGGACTTAGCCTTTGCCATGTTCATGGCCCCCACAGCACCTTGCTTATTGCTTTACTTCTTCCTCCTTTTCCTTTCAACCAACAAGCATTTCCTGGTTATCATCAATGTTTCGGAGTTACCAAGTTGAATGAGAAACAATGGTCCTGTTTTCCAAGAGCTCACGCTCAGTGGTAGAGATGAACATTCAACAGGAATTTACACTGTTAGGAGGTAAACACAGGAGCTAAAGGGGCACCTTCCACAATGTTGGGAGGGCAGAGAAGCTTTCTGAGGAAAGTAATAGTTGTCATCATTTAAAATGATAAACATTACTAGTAATGGCACAGAAATGCTTTTTAAATAACCAAAGTAATCCTGTCAATGATCTTAGAAGAGAAGTCTTGTTATCCCAGTTTTACAGATGATGAAACAGGGGCTCTGAAAGATGAATTAAATTTTTCAAGATAATGTGGTTAAGTAAGTGGAGAGAACTGGTTCACACCCACGCCTTTGATTTTGAAGTCTTTGCACGTCTTGACTTTACTACACTATGCTGACCAGTTCAAAATGGTGGATGGCCAGATATGAGGGGGAGTAGCAAGGAGTGAAGCTGTAATTGTAATGACAGGCTGGGCTATGAAAAGGCTTATGTTCCCTATTGCATGACGATAATGAGGAACCACGTGAGAACTGTTTTTTTGTTTTGTTTTGTTTTTTGTTTTTTAAAACAGGGTCTTGCTCTGTTGCCCAGTCTGGAGTGCAGTGGTGCGATCTTGGCTTACTGCAGCCTCTGCCTCCCAAGTTCAAGCGATTCTTCTGCCTCAGACACCTGAGTAGCTGGGATTATAGGTGTGTGCCACCATGTCTGGCCATTTGTCTTTTTAGTAGAGATGGGGTTTCACCATGTGGCCAGGCTGATCTTGAACTCCTGACCTCAAGTAATCTACCTGCCTCAGCCTCCCAAATTAAGGATTAAGGTGGGAGCCACTGTGCCCAGCCCATGTAAGAGTTTTTAAGGAATGGGCTGACATCATAAAATATGGGTACACAGCAAATATTTGATAAATATTTGTTCCATCAAAAATAACTGCAGAGTCCAGGCGCGGTGGCTCACGCCTGTAATCCCAGCACTTTGGAAGGCCGAGGCAGGCGAATCATGGGTCAGGATATTGAGACCATCCTGGCTAACATGGTGAAACTCCGTCTCTACTGAATATACAAAAAAAAAAAAAAAAAAATGGCTGGGTGTGGTGGCGGACGCCTGTAGTCCCAGCTACTCGGAAGGCTGAGGCAGGAGAATGGCGTGAACCCAGGAGGCAGAACTTGCAGTAAGCTGAGATCACGCCACTGCACTCTAGCCTGGGCAACAGAGTGAGACTGTCTCAAAAAAAAAAAAAAAAAAAAAAAACGAAAAAACGAACAAAAAAACTGCAGAAAGGTTGAAGTGCAAGGCAAAGAGCCCTGTATGAGGCGTGCCTGGGATTGCCCTCAGTGTGCTTCAGGACTTGACAGGCCATTCATCCTCTTGGGGCCTCAGTTTCCTCCTCTATCATATGAAGGGACTGAACTAGGACTAGATAACCTCCAGGTCTGGTTCCAGCCTGGATGTTCTATGCTATTCCAGATCTGAGCTCACTTTTTAGTGGGGATGAGCTCCTCTCAGCAGGCGTCAGGATTGTTCAGTTTAGTTTGGTGTTGCTAGTTAAGCTGGGCCTAGAAGAATAGACATGTACTGGAAGATAATAAAGGTGGCAAAGGTGTAGAGATCTGAAAGCACATCGATTTTTCAGCAAACAGTGGGTCATTTGTTGAGGACAGAGCAAATGCTGCATGGGATGATGAGGGCAGGCAGAGAAAAAGAGGAAGCTGGAAAAATAGGTTTGAATGAGGTGTCTCCATAGATTTGCCTATTTGGGACATTTTATATCAATGGAATCACACAATATATGGTCTTTTGTGACTGGTTTCTTGGCATAATATTTTCAAGGTTCAATACTTGGTTCCTTTTTATTGCTGAATAATGCTATGCTGCATTTAACCTGAATGTTCCAAACATGCCTTGGGATGTCTTCCTTCCTCATCTCTTTTCAGCAAATCTGTTTCCGCCCACAGCCCACTGTACAGTCACCTGACCTCACCTTATCAAACGCTGGGAGGACGGAGGAAAGGAAGGGGTTGCTAGCTCACATCCCTGCCCCTTCTCAGGTTTCCTTCCCTGTAGCAGGGACGGGTAAGAAGGTATAAATCCACAAACACTTGATATTATTTACACTGTCCATGATTGTATATCAGTGGAAAATGCACCAGGTCTGTCACTGGTCCCCAAGAAGTTCCATGAGGACAAAGACTCAAATACAACTATTTTGTGCATAATGTAAGTT